AGTGTTAATGACTGTGTGGGTGAGTGGGTGAGTGTGTTTATGACTTTAAGTAAATGTTAGTTTATAGGCAGTGTTGGTCTATTGGGCAGTGTTGGTCTATGGTGCAGTCTTGAATATATTGGCAGTGTTGAGTCTATGGGCACTGTTAAGTCTATGGTGCAGTCTTGAGTCTGGTGCAGTGTTGAGTCTATGGTGCAGTGTTGAGTCTATGGTGCAGTGTTGAGTCTATGGTGCAGTGTTGAGTCTATGGGCAGTGTTGAGTCTATGGTGCAGTGTTGAGTCTTTGGTGCAGTGTTGAGTCTATGGGCAGTGGTGAGTCTTTGGTGCTGTGTTAAGTCTATGGGCAGTGTGGAGTCTATGGTGCAGTGTTGAGTCAATGGTGCAGTGTTGAGTCTATGGTGCAGTGTTGAGTCTATGGTGCAGTGTTGAGTCTTTGGGAAGTGTTGAGTCTATGGTGTAGTGTTGAGTCTATGGGCAGTGTTGAGTCTATGGTGTAGTGTTAAGTCTATGGTGCAGTGTTGAGTCTATGGGCAGTGTTGAGTCTATGGTGCAGTGTTGAGTCTATGGTGCAATGTTGAGTCTATGGTGCTGTGTTGAGTCTATGGGCAGTGTTGAGTCTATGGTGCAATGTTGAGTCTATGGTGCAGTGTTGAGTCTATGGTGCAGTGTTGAGTCTATGGTGCAGTGTTGAGTCTATGGTGTAGTGTTGAGTCTATGGTGCAGTGTTGAGTCTATGGGCAGTGTTGAGTCTATGGTGCAGTGTTGAGTCTATGGTGCAATGTTGAGTCTATGGTGCAGTGTTGAGTCTATGGTGCAGTGTTGAGTCTATGGTGCAGTGTTGAGTCTATGGGTAGTGTTGCGTCTATGGGTAGTGTTGAGTCTGTGGTGCAGTGTTGAGTCTATGGGTAGTGTTGAGTCTATGGTGCAGTGTTGAGTCTATGGTGCAGTGTTGAGTCTATGGTGCAGTGTTGAGTCTATGGTGCAGTGTTGAGTCTATGGGCAGTGTTGAGTCTATGGTGCAGTGTTGAGTCTATGGTGCAATGTTGAGTCTTTGGTGCAGTGTTGAGTCTATGGTGCAGTGTTGAGTCTATGGTGCAGTGTTGAGTCTATGGGTAGTGTTGCGTCTAAGGGTAGTGTTGAGTCTTTGGTGCAGTGTTGAGTCTATGGGCAGTGGTGAGTCTTTGGTGTAGTGTTGAGTCTATGGGCAGTGTTGAGTCTATGGTGCTGTGTTGAGTCTATGGGCAGTGTGGAGTCTATGGTGCAGTGTTGAGTCTATGGTGCAGTGTTGAGTCTATGGTGCAGTGTTGAGTCTATGGTGCAGTGTTGAGTCTATGGTGTAGTGTTGAGTCTATGGGCAGTGTTGAGTCTATGGTGCAATGTTGAGTCTATGGTGCTGTGTTGAGTCTATGGGCAGTGTTGAGTCTATGGTGCAGTGTTGAGTCTATGGTGCAGTGTTGAGTCTATGGTGCAGTGTTGAGTCTTTGGGAAGTGTTTAGTCTATGGTGTAGTCTTGAGTCTATGGGCAGTGTTGAGTCTATGGTGTAGTGTAGAGTCTATGGTGCAGTGTTGAGTCTATGGGCGGTGTTGAGTCTATGGTGCAGTGTTGAGTCTATGGTGCAATGTTGAGTCTATGGTGCAGTGTTGAGTCTATGGTGCAGTGTTGAGTCTATGGTGCACTGTTGAGTCTATGGGTAGTGTTGCATCTATGGGTAGTGTTGAGTCTGTGGTGCAGTGTTGAGTCTATGGGTAGTGTTGAGTCTATGGTACAGTGTTGAGTCTATGGTGCAGTGTTGAGTCTATGGTGCAGTGTTGAGTCTATGGTGCAGTGTTGAGTCTATGGGCAGTGTTGAGTCTATGGTGCAGTGTTGAGTCTATGGTGCAATGTTGAGTCTATGGTGCAGTGTTGAGTCTATGGTGCAGTGTTGAGTCTATGGTGCAGTGTTGAGTCTATGGGTAGTGTTGCGTCTAAGGGTAGTGTTGAGTCTGTGGTGCAGTGTTGAGTCTATGGGTAGTGTTGAGTCTATGGTGCAGTGTTGAGTCTATGGTGCAGTGTTGAGTCTTTGGGAAGTGTTGAGTCTATGGTGTAGTGTTGAGTCTATGGGCAGTGTTGAGTCTATGGTGTAGTGTTGAGTCTATGGTGCAGTGTTGAGTCTATGGGCAGTGTTGAGTCTATGGTGCAGTGTTGAGTCTATGCTGCAATGTTGAGTCTATGGTGCAGTGTTGAGTCTATGGTGCAGTGTTGAGTCTATGGTGCACTGTTGAGTCTATGGGTAGTGTTGCGTCTATGGGTAGTGTTGAGTCTGTGGTGCAGTGTTGAGTCTATGGGTAGTGTTGAGTCTATGGTGCAGTGTTGAGTCTATGGTGCAGTGTTGAGTCTATGGTGCAGTGTTGAGTCTATGGTGCAGTGTTGAGTCTATGGGCAGTGTTGAGTCTATGGTGCAGTGTTGAGTCTATGGTGCAATGTTGAGTCTATGGTGCAGTGTTGAGTCTATGGTGCAGTGTTGAGTCTATGGTGCAGTGTTGAGTCTATGGTGTAGTGTTGAGTCTATGGGTAGTGTTGAGTCTATGGTGCAGTGTTGAGTCTATGGTGCAGTGTTGAGTCTATGGTGCAGTGTTGAGTCTATGGTGCAGCGTTGAGTCTATGGTGCATTGTTGACTTTGGGGGGGCTGACTTCAATATTCTGAGATATCTCAGTGTGTTTATGTTTTCCAAAGGGTGCCAGAAATGTATGAAACAGATTTTATAGGATTTGAACGCGGAGTTTATTAATATGTCGGAGCCGCTGATGTGGATAATAAGTTCGGTAAGTTCGAAAGGCTGCCGCTCAAGCAGCCTGCAGGGCAGCCCACGAGGTGGCAGCCTGCAGGGCAGCAGCACAAGGTGGCAGCCTGCAGGGCAGCACAAGGTGGCAACCTTGCAGCATTTTGCAGCAGCCGGATATCCGGTTATCCCGATTACCAACTTTCCCAAAATTGCAGAGGGGGCTAAGCCCCGCCCACCCCCCCCCCCCGGGGGCTCCGCCCCCCCCCCAGCCTCCCCTGTGGCCCCCCCCCCAGCCTCCCCTGTGGCCCCGCCCCTGGCTATCGCTCATTAACCCCCCATCCATTCGGCCCATATGCGTGAAGTCCCAAACCGCGACAGACGACTCGCCTGACACATTGCGTGCACGCGGGGGGTCGGGAAGTGAAACGAGGCTCCTGATTGGTGCAGCCAAATTTGGGAGAGACCACGTGGGGTGGATGACAGAGAGAGGCCTGGGAGGGGGATTGGCTGGAGGCAGATTGTTGAAGGCGATTGGAGGAAAGACAGAAAATGCAGAGGGCCCGGGAATGATGGTGGGCTGATCGTAGAGCGGTTGAGGTCCTCGTACCCACGAGGTTTGGGCCGTGGAAAGAAGTTCAGGGAACCTTCGAGAAAGGGGCGCTCGAGGGTATTGGAAGAAAGATTTTAAAAAACACTCAGAGGGTGGGGAACGATTGTGGATTTACAGGAGAGTGGTTGAGATTTGTTCGAGAAGGGGAAATGTAGGATTTGGCCGTGGAAAGAAGTCGGGGAATATTTCCAGAAAGGGGATCTCGACGGTATTGGAAGAAAGATTTTTTAAAAACACTCAGAGGGTGGGGAACGATGGTGGACTTACAGGAGAGTGGTTGAGATTTGTTCGAGAAAGGGAGATGTAGGATTTGGCCGTGAAAAGAAGTCGGGGAATACTTCCAGAAAGGGGATCTCGACGGTATTGGAAGAAAGATACAAAACGCAGAGGGCAGGGAAGCGATGGTGGACTGACAGGAGAGCGGTGGAGGTCCGTTAGGGAAGGGGGGGGGGGGGTGGGACGGACGAGGATTTGGCTGTAGAAAATAGGTCATGGAAACTTCGAGAAAGGGGGCGCTGGATGGGTATGAAAAGGGGAAGCAGAAGTTGAGGGCGACGCTTGGAGAGATGACCGAGGTCGTGCCGGACGACAGCTTTCCTGTCGACAATAACGACTCCTACTTATAGCCGATGGTGAGTCGGTCGCCTTTACACGTCATCATTTACTGTCAGACTAATAATATAATTGTGCTCATTATATGGCTATCACTCAGTCACCCGATTAATTAAATCCATTCATCATCAGCACCACGGATTTGCCCCCATCGATCCCTCTAATCTATTTCATTCACCTCATTGACCACCACCATCACATTCACACACGCACGCGTTTTGTTGTTGTTGTACCGTTGTTAATTCTTCGTACAGCGCCTTGGTTAAGGCGTTAGATACATTGCGTTAGGATAAGGCGTTTTCCTGTCGACCCACTTAAACCACGCTTACCTCACCCATCCATCGCATCCAGGTAAGAAGCAGCAACGGCTACAGCAGGAGCAGCAGCAGCAGCCGCCGTTCCTCTAACAAGCGGCGACCGTGCCAGGCTAGGTGCACCTTGAGGCCGTCACGTGATGTTTGGGAAGGCGCTCAGAGGAGGTCATGGGCAGACCCCGGTGGTGCCCATGGGTTGACCGACTGAGATGATCGGCAGATGCACCACCGGCCGTGCTCACCAACTCGCTGCGCTTTGTCCGCCCGGCGTTCCGCTCGTTGTTGTGAGCGTCGCTCCTCCGCCCTCCGCTGTTGCTGGAGGGCGACTGCCTCCAACTGCCCAGTAGGAGCAGCGTCCTTCACGAGCCTTGTCTTCCTCCACAGAGGCCGATCTTGACACCGCTGGTACCGGTCATCAGCAAGTCCACTCGTCTCCATCATCGCTACCACCACCACCACCATCTTCACCAACACTACCACCATTCCTGCATCACATCTACACCATCACCAGCAGCAGTGCCACTACCATCACCTAAACCACAATACACCTCTATCGTCACCACCACCGTATCTATAATCACCACCATCACCACCACTATATCCATCATCATCACCATCACCACCAAAGATCCCATCCCATCACCACTACCATCGGTAAAACCACAAATCCATCACCACCACCACTACTTTATCTATCAACAACACCACCGAACATCCACGCCCCATCACTACCACCACCGCCACCACCCACAATGACTTCCTCCATCCCCCTCCTCAACCCATCCCCCGCAACCGCCACAACCGTCGCATACCCGTTCACCACCAACGACGTCAACGACGTCAACGGCGTCAACGTCGACAACGTGAGCATCAGCGGCGGCGGCGGCGGCGGCGGGAGGAGGACGTGCGTGTACCGCGAGGCCTACAAGCACATCCTGCTGCCCGTCGTCTACAGCGTCGTCTTCGCCCTCGCCCTCGCGCTCAACGGCTCCGTCCTCTACCTCTGCGCCTTCCGCACGGAGCGCCGCCGCTGGAGCGCCAACCTCGTCTACCTCGCCAACCTGGCGGCGGCCGACCTCCTCTACGCCTGCTCGCTGCCCCTCCTGGTGCTCAACTACGCGCGGCGCGACCGGTGGCCCTTCGGCGACGCGGCCTGCCGCGCCGTCCGCTTCGCCTTCTACGCCAACCTCTACGGCAGCGTCGCCTTCCTCGCCGCCGTCAGCCTCAACCGCTACCTCGGCGTCTGCCACCCGCTCCGCTTCGGCGGCCTACGGGGCCGCCGGGCGGCCGCCCGCGTGTCGGCGGCCGCGTGGCTCGCCGTGGCGGCGGAGACGGCGCCGACGGCGGCGTTCGCCCGCTCCGGGGTGCTGAGCGGGCGCGCCGTCTGCTACGACCTGACGAGCCCGGAGAACTTCGCCGCCTACTTCCCCTACGGCGTGGCGCTCACCGCCGTGGGCTTCGCGGCGCCGTTCGCCGTCGTCGCCGCCTGCTACGTCGCCATCGTGCGCGCGCTGCTGCGCCGGCGCAGGTCCAGGGTCGGGCAGGTGCGGCACGGCGGCGGCACCGGCGCCGGCGGCGGCGGTGAAGTGAAGAGGGCGGGCGGCCGCTCGTTCAGGCTCATCGCCGTCGTGTGCCTGAGCTTCGCCGTCTGCTTCCTGCCCTTCCACGTGACGCGCATGGTGTACCTCTTCGTCAAGATGTACGGCGGCGGCGGCGGCGGCAACGGCGGCAACGACGGCGGCGGCAGTAACTACACCGCGGCCGCCGTTGGGGGCGGTAATTACACCATCGGCGGCGTCGGCGACGAGCCGTCGTGCGAGCTCGTGCAGACTGTGTCGACCATCTACAAGGCGACTCGCCCCCTCGCCAGCCTCAACTGCTGCATCAACCCCGTGCTCTACTTCCTGTCGGGGGACTACTACAGGCGCGGGGGAGCCGCGCGCTGGCGATGCTGCGGCGGCGGCGGCGGCGGCGGAACGGTGGTGCCGGCGTCGACCGCGGGAGCGTCGCGCGACTCTGAGCCGTCCAACACCGACGCGGTGGTGGCGGCGGTGGTGGCCGTGGAAGGGCGCTAGCTAGGCGCGGCGATTCGCCGCTCGCGCGAGTGAGTGGGTGAGTGGGTGCGTGGGCGAGTGGGTATATGAGTGGGTGATTGGGTGCGTGGGCGAGTGGGTATATGAGTGGGTGATTGGGTGCGTGGGCGAGTGGGTATATGAGTGGGTGATTGGGTGCGTGGGCGAGTGAGTGTAGGTGGGGACAGGCGTCCATGACATCTCCTGGCCAAACCCCATTTGGCGGAGCCGGGATACTGAATCCTTACCCTCGGGGTTCCTCCAGAAACGGCTAAAAGCCACTGTGAGTGGCCACGTGGAATGTTTGAATGCTGCGAAGAGAGGCTGCCAGACCTCTCTCGGGAGCGGGACCGGTACCGCCTGAATCTTTGCGGTATTCAGGAGGTCCGTTGGACCGGCTCTGGCTCCAGCCACCATGAGGGGTGGACAGTCCTCTACTCGGGGCAGCAGACTGCCAAACAACAGGGTGTGGCTCTTCTTCTGAATTAAAGAATGAAGGGGGCGTGGGAGCGTGGCAGTGAGGTGTGAGAAGCTGGAAGCCCCAGGCTACTTTGGGCTCGCCTTCCCATCAACCAGAGGCAAGGAGTGGTGGTGGTGGTTACTTATACCCCCACCGAAAATTTACATAAGTGGATGGATGTAGGCAAGGCCGATGAGTCAGATGCCTTCTATGACCTCCTGTCACAGGTGCTAGCTAAAGTGGCCCCTCGGGATAGAGTTATTATCCTGTTGGGTGACTTTAATGCCCGAGTTGGTCATGATGCTGGCACCTGGTCTGGAGTGATTGGAGGGCATGAGCCAGATCAGCTCAATAAAAATGGTAGGAGGCTGCTAGACATCTGTGCAAGCCGATAGGCTTGTAAACACCAACACGCTGTTCCGGTATTAGCACATCCACATAACATGGATGCAGGCTGGGTCCAAGCAAGAACATCTGCTGGCCTACATAGTGATGGAACAGCAGATGCGGGCCCATGCCCTTGACACCAGGACCTACTGTGGAGCAGATCTGCCCACTGACGATCGACTTGTCATCTGTAAAATGTGCCTGCCATTCTTCCACTCCGCTGGTGGGTGTACACCCAGGATCCCATTCAAACCCATAGTGGCATGGTCTCAGCTAGCTGATGAAAGTTGCACATGATAGTTTTATCATCGTTTGCAGCTGGGGTTGGCATCATGCCCCCCCACCACCTCCTCCTGGCTACAAATATGTGCTTGTACATATGTGTACTATATTTGTATATGCATGTGTGTATATCTATGTATGGAGTGGTAGTGTAGAGGTTAGCATGCTGCACTACAAACCCGACGACCTGAGTTCAATTCCCGCTCACGGCCTACACCATTGACGATTAACTGAACCGGTCTTGGGCTTCCCCTAGGTCGACTCAGCCTCAAATTAATACCTGGGTGTGGTGTGTAAACTTCGCCACAAGGGAGACAAAGGCGGCCAAGCGTGGTGCTGAGACCACCCAACCTTTTGTGCGCCGTGCAGGCCTTCATAGGTGCTCGCTAATAGCACTTGCGCCAACAGTTTGTTCAGGCTATAAGTGTGGGATCTTTGCCTTTATAGGTGTATATGATCGTATGCATGTGTGTATGTATGTATGTGCTATATGTGTATATGCATGCATGTGTATAGTATTTAAAGTGTATGTGTGTACGGGCGTCGCTCGCATAATGCATCACACGCGTTCCTGAAAAAAACAGCGCTGTATGAAGCCAACGTTCCCATAGGTGTACATGATATATGGGGGGGATGCGATCCCCGAAGAATAATTGAGTATCATTTCATAATTTTATCCCTGGATTGACAACATCCGTAGACATTTAATGCTGCATACGAATATTAACCTTACGTAAATACCTTAATAAGGAGTTTTATAGCAAACTAAACAATTATTCAGATTTAAAAGATTGCTACTTGCAAAGATTTCTTCATACGGAGTAACGTCAGTCATTTGCATCAGTAGCCAGTCGCATTGATCACTTAAATCAGTAGCCAGTCACATTGATCACTCACTTACCCACTCACTCACAGACTCACGCAATCACCCATTCAAAATACTTACTTGCCCACCCACTCGCTCGCTTACACACTCACTCACCCACTCACTCAACCACTCACTCAACCACTCACTCGCCCACCCACACACTCACTCACTCACCCACGCACTCACTGACTCAACCACTCACCCACCCACGCACTCACTCATCCACTCACTCACCCACCCACACACTCACCCACTTACCCATGCACCCACCCACGCACTCACTCAACCACTCAATCACCCACCCACCCAAACACTCACTCACTCACCCACTTACCCATGCACTCACCCACCCACCCACACACCCACTCACCCATGCACTCACCCACCCACGCACTCACTCACTCACCCACACACTCACTCACCCATGCACTCACCCACCCACGCACTCACTCAACCACTCACTCAACCACTCACTCAACCAACCACTCAACCACTCACTCAACCACTCACTCACCCACCCACACACTCACCCACTTATCCATGCACTCACCCACCCACCCATGCACTCACCCACCCACCCATGCACTCACCCACCCACACACTCACTCACTCACCCACTCATTCAACCACTCACTCATCCACTCACTCAACCACCCACTCAACCACTCACTCAACCACTCACTCACCCACTCACTCACTCACTCACCCACCCACACACTCACTCACTCACCCATACACTCACCCACCCACGCACTCACTCACTCAACCACTCACTCAACCACTCACTTAACCACTCACTCAACCACTCACTCACTCAACCACTCACTCACTCACCCACCCACACACTCACCCACCTACCCATGCACTCACCCACCCACACACTCACTCACTCACCCACTCATTCAACCACTCACTCATCCACTCACTCATCCACTCACTCAACCACTCACTCATCCACTCAGTCACCCACTCACTCACTCACCCACCCACACACTCACTCACTCACCCACACACTCACTCACTCACCCACGCACTCACCCACCCACACACTCACTCACTCAACCACTCACGCACTCACTCACTCAACCACTCACCCACGTGCTCACCCACTCACTTCAGAAGGCAGGAGTGTATTTCCCGGCGAGTACAGCCCGCAGAGGTCAGAATCTCTTTTTCAAGGGGTGACTACTCGACTGGCAGACAGCACCAAAGCGTTCCACATTTGTCACGGATTTTAAAATAACAAGTCAGCACGGTTAGGCCGTCAATTATCCACGCCAATGACCATCACAGAATAATAATAATAATCATTCAAAATCGCGGTAATCCAAACATTTTATAACCACTACGTAGGGTATAAAATAAAATAAATCACGACGTTTCGGGCGCAACACCAAGCGTCCATCATCGGGTGCGTGAAAGCATGGTCTGCTGCTGCAGCCTGCCCGAAACGTCGTGATTTAATTTATTTTCTACCTACCACGTTGATGGCTTTACCGAAAGAACCAAAGAGTATGGATTCCTGCAGTCACGAAAGCTTCAAATCGACATTTTGACCATTATCCCGCAGATCTCTTTAATGCCAAAACCCCCGCCGATATATATGTCACGTTTCAGTTAAGCAATTTGGGGTTTGTTAATGAACAAAAAACAAACTCGTGCAGTGAAGAATCCCGCGTGCTCAGTCACAACGATAACTCTGCTGGCCTCCCGCCAAGCACCAGCAGAAGCCTCGGGCCCCACTGACTGGCTGATGGCAGAGCCACAGGCAATCAGCAGCCAATCAACAGCCACTCGACAGCCAATCAAACTCCGCCACCCCGCCGTCGTAAAGATATTGCAACCACTGTACTGCAGAGGGCGATCGCGCCAGTATCAAAGTATGAAAAAAATAATCGGAGGTTTTACGCTTTCTGGCAGCAATGAAACACGACGGTTTTGTTAAGATGTTCAAACACCAAATAGCACACGGGCAATGCCATTATAGCTGCTGGTGGATAGGGAGATGTTAACTACCTCGCCTGGTACACAGGAAGTCGTGGGTTCGCTTAACGATATGTTAACTACCTCTCCTGGTACACAGGATGTCGTGGGTTCACTTAACGAGATGTTAACTACCTCGCCCGGTATACAGGATGTCGTGGGTTCACGTAACGAGATGTTAACTACCTCGCCTGGTATACAGCATGTCGTGGGTTTGCTTAACGAGATGTTAACTACCTCGGCTGGTACACAGGAAGCCGTGGGTTCGCTTAACGAGATGTTAACTACCTCGCCTGGTGTACAGGAAGTCGTGGTGTCGCTTAACGAGATGTTAACTACCTCACCTGGTATACATGATGTCGTGGGTTTGCTTAACGAGATGTTAACTACCTCGCCTGGTACACAGGAGGTCGTGGGTTCGCTTAACGAGATGTTAACTACCTCGCCTGGTATACAGGAAGTCGTGGGTTCACTTAACGAGATGTTAACTACCTCGCCTGATACACAGGAGGTCGTGCGTTCGCTTAACGAGATGTTAACTACCTCGCCTGGTATACAGGAAGTCGTGGGTTCACTTAACGAGATGTTAACTACCTCGCCTGGTACACAGGATGTCGTGGGTTTGCTTAACGAGATGTTAACTACCTCGCCTGTTACACAGGATGTCGTGGGTTTGCTAAACGAGATGTTAACTACCTCGCCTGGTTTACAGGAGGTTGTGGGTTTGCTAAACGAGATGTTAACTACCTCGCCTGGTATACAGGAGGTTGTGGGTTCGCTAAACAAGATGTTAACTACCTCGCCTGGTACACAGGAAGTCGTGGGTTCGCTTAACGAGATGTTAACTACCTCGCCTGGTATACAGGATGTCGTGGGTTTGCTTAACGAGATGTTAACTACCTCGCCTGGTAAACAGGAGGTCGTGGGTGCGTTTGCTTAACGAGATGTTAACTACCTCGCCTGGTATACAGGATGTCGTGGGTTCACTTAACGAGATGATAACTACCTCGCCTGGTATACAGG